CATGGGGAATACTGTAATAATTGTAAGCACGAGGACTGGTCTCAAACCACTTTTTTCCAATGCAGCCGTAACTTCAAATAGTCGGTAAAGAAATGGTTGGACGTCGAGGACTGCTAGAAGTGTTTGGAAAGCAGATTTTAGTTCTTTAATTTCAAAAGAGAAGACCGAGAAGTCAAGTTGATGTCCTTCCTGGAGGGTGGAGAGCTTTTATCATCAGCGATAAAAAAAATGATCATTTTTTTAGGAAAGATTCGGAAATTTGGCCTAAACGAACCGACAACGCAATGGATGAAAATTGTCCAACCAGTACCGTCAGGACTTCAACTCCCAGAATTCCCCATGCTGGCAAGGGGAATGCTGGGAATCGGAGTCCATACTTTTTCAAGTTGCTTGGTTTTAAGAAAAGCCACTGCGTACCAAATTGTGTGTCCCACAAACGGTCCTCAGAAGGACCAACAAGGTGACAACTGGTTTAGGCAGTGTTGAAGTAGCATAAAACCTGTTTTTATTCTGTTCTCCGGTCTCCCAAGGAATTCTAAACGAGAAGTCTTGGTAGTCTTCAACTTACAATAGTTCATTTAGTGACATCCAGCACTGCTTTGATACTCGTTAAGGTAACTATATCTAAACAACTTGGGATGGTTCCAAGCTCATTAAAGTATCTAAACACACCAGAATCAATAAGAAGCCCATGAAAACAGCTATATCTCAACAACCTGGTTGACTGGAAGCTCATTCAAGCAGCTATATGACAACAGCCCAGCACTGGCTCACAGCTCATTAAGTCAGCTACTTCTCAATGATTCCAAATTCATTAAAGCAGCTATATCTTAAACACCCAGCACTGGTTTGCAGCTTTTTAAAAACAGCTGCATCTCAACATCCAACACAACTTTAATACTCATTAAACCAACTACTTCTCAACCTAGCAACGGTTCCAAGTTCATTAAAGGAACTATATCTTAACTACCCGACACTGGTTTGCAGCTTTTTAAAAACAGCTACATCTCAACTTCCAACACAACTTTAATACTTATGAAATCTCAACATCTCAACATTTATAGGGCTGTAAAGCATTATAAAGTGGTATATAAGTGCTATTGCTATCTCAACACCTGCTCTGAAGCTCATAAAAGCAGCTACATCTCAACAATCCGGCACTAGTTTGAAGCTCATTCAAGCAGCTATATCGCAACCACCAGACACTGGTTCGGAGCTCATTCAAGCAGCTGCATCTCAATCTCCAGCATTGGTATGAAGCTGATTACAGTATAAAAAAACCCTAGCACTGGTTGGAAGCTCATGAAAATAACTACAGCTCAACATTCCACACTGATTCCCAGCTCATTAAAGTAGTTGCATCTCAATAATCTAGCACCAATCTGAAGCTCATTAAAATAGCAACATCTCAACAGACCAGCACTGTCTCAGAGCTCATTAAAGCAGCTATTTCTCAATCCTGGCCATTAAAGCAGCTATATCTTAACCACCCAGCACCGATTTGCAGCTTGTTAAACAGCTACATCTTAACACCCAACAAGGCTTTAATGCTAATTAAAGCAGCTATATCTCAATCAAACTGCCCTGGTTTCAAGCTCATGAAAGCAGCTATTCTCTTGGCGGGACTGTGTGCTCTCTCTATATTCCACAGCCCCTTTTCCAATTTGCTTCTAAAAACCTTGCACCCTCTTAATAGGTCTTCATACAATAAAGTGCAACGTCCTTGCAAGAATCTGGAGAGCTGAGTGGCAAGTTGTATACATTTGGAAAGTACGAAGCTGGAACTCCAGGAAATATTTGAACAAACCAAGTCAGAAATACTAAGACAAGAATGTTTGCAGTAGGTCCTCGGTGCTTTCGAAGCTGGCTGGTTATCTTGGAGACATTTCATGACCCACCTATGAAACATCGTCAGTGCTAGAAAGGAGTGGTGTGTGCAGATAGGAGAACTGTGGAATCCTTGGTCTCTCTGAAGTTGTTTGTTCTCTTACAGATGTTTCAAGACCCAACTGGGGAACATCCTCAGTACTAGGAAAGTTTGCAAAGGAGGAGTGAGTAGAGAACAACTGGTCCCTGGTGTGCTCTGAGCTTGGTCCATTTTTCACAAACATTTCATGACCCAACTAAGGAACATCATCAGTGCTAGAATGGAGGAGGATTTGAGGAGGAGGAGGAAGAGGATGATGACAACTGTTGAGTCCTTAGTGCTCTGTGAGCTTGGATGTTTTTCTTATAAGCCTCTGACCATGTTTTAGGTATCATCTTCTTTGACATAGCTTCATTCATGACTTCTAACAATGGAATGCTCAATGATTCTTGTAGTGTTTTATAGAATTCTGCCGGAAGCCCATCTGGACCTGGTGCTTTCCCATTATTTTGTTTCTTAAGTGCTTCAATTAATTCCATCATTGTTATATTACTTTCTAGCATTTCTTCAGTCTCTTTAGATATCTTAGGTAGGTTAGCATTCTGTAGGTACTGTTTGACTTTTTCCTCATCAATATTCTCTTTCTTATATAGTTGTCTATAGAAGTCTCGAATAATTTCCTTTTTCTCCTTATTACCATGACAAACTTGGCCTTGTTCATCTATTAACTGCGATATTTTCCTTGACTCTTTCTCCTTTCTCAATTTATATGCTATCCATCTACCTGGTTTATTTGCATCTTCAAAGTAATTCTGTTTAGCATTTCTAATTTTCTGTGCCAGTTCTTCTTTCTCTATTAAACCCATTTTATGTTTAGTTATGTCCAATTTCAATTTAATGTCTTTTTTCTGTGGCATTTTCTGTAATTCTTTTTCAAGTCTTTTATACTCATCTTCCAAGGCTTTAGTGGCTTGCCTTTTCCTGATATTCTTTTTTCTTATGTAATCTATTATCAAGCCTCTAGCATATGCCTTCACTGTATCCCAAACATTCTGCATTGAAGTATCTTCTTTTTTATTTTCTTTAAAGAAAATGCCAGTTCTTTCTCAATCCATTGTATAAAATCTTTCTCCTTTAAAATAGTATTATTTAGCGTCCATCTCAATCTTTTTTTTGTCCCTTCCATTTAATTGTCATTGGGTTATGGTCTGCCCAAGTACTTTTTTCAATATTTGTTTCTTGAGCACTAGATATTCTGTTGAGATCCAAATCATATCTAATCTGGACCATGATAAATGTCTATTTGAATAGAAAGTGTATTGTTTGGTTTTAGCATTTCTTTCTCTCCATATATCTTTTAAAGTTAATTCGTCTGTCATTTTAAAAAAGGATTTAGGGAGAATCTTTCTATTTTGCTTTGTTGTTGTTGCTATATAGTCCAGTTTATTGTCCACAATTCCATTAAAGTCTCCCATCATAATTATATTGGCATAGTCCAGTCCAGTTATTTTCATGTGTAGTTTTTTATAGAATTCTTCTTGTTTATCATTTGGAACATAAATTGCAATCAAGAGTATTTTTATATTATTGTCCATTATTTCCACCATTAATACTCTTCCATCTTCATCAGTGTAAATCAATTTTGCTGGGGTAGCCTCTTTAATATATAAAACCACTCCTCTTTTCTTACATTGAGTCAAGGTAGTAAATATTTTCCCTAATTTTGGCTGTACTAACAATTGTTCATGTTGTTTTTTAATGTGTACTTCTTGTAAACAAATTATGTCAAACTTTAATTTCCCTAATTTATGAAAAATCTTCCTTCTCTTAGCAGCTGAATTCAGTCCGTTTATATTCATTGTAATCAGTTTTTTTTCTTCCATGATTATATTTTGTAGTTAGGTTTGGCAGCTCTCGTAGATCTTGGTTCACGTTGTTCTTTGATATCCACCTGTCCACCTACTGCGCCTTCTTCTTTTTCAGTCCCCATTTGTTCTTCTTGGAATTCAATTAATGAGACCTCTTTTTCTGCCTCCTCCACTTTCCTTCCGAAAAATTCTGCGTAGAAAAGTTCTGCTTTCTCAATTGAATCAATTCTGTGTCTCTGTTCTTGCCATGTAAACATTAGTCCTTCTGGAATCAGCCATCTATAATTCACCTCCTTTTTCAATAGCACTTTGGTCAAGAATCGATATTCTCTTCTCATCTCTCTCATCTTCTGGGTATTTGTTTTAAAACCACGATTTCTTTACCTTTATATTTCAACGTCTTCTCTCTTACCGCTTGTAATATTTGTGTTTTGATGGATTTTTTGGTAAATCTGATGTGAACTTCTCTGGGTAAATTATTTCTCATCGCATATCTTGTAAAAACTCAGTATACCTCATCTACTCCATCCATCATCTTTTCCTCTGATATTTCCAAAGCATCAGCCAGAATTTCTATCATTATCACAGCCAAATTTTGTCCTTTTTCTTCCTCAATGTTTTGAAATCTGAGATGTTTTTCTTGTAGATGTTTTATGACCCAACTAGAGAACATCATCAGTGCAAGAGGAGCAGAGGTGGTACTCAGCAAGTTCTGATCAGTTCTGGAGAACTGGTAGCAGAAATGTTGAATAGTTTGGAGAACCGGCAAGTCCCACCTCTGACTGGCCCCACCAACCCCATCTCTCACGGATCGACTGGGTCTCCTTTGCTTGCCCTGCACAGAACAGAGCTGGAAAGCAGGCTAGTGGAGTGGAAATTGAGATTTTACAGTATCCTTTCCCTGCTACCCCTACTAAGACACACCATGCCTACCGAGTCACGCCCACAGAACCGGTAGTAATTTTTTTTTGAATCCCAGCACTGTAGAGGAGACTTCAGGGGGGTGGGCTCATACCGATTTGGCCTGGTTTGGGTGAACTAGTAACTAAACAGTAGCAAATTTTATTGCTGGTTTGGCAAACTAGCAGTTACAACAACTGGCTGGCCCCTCCCGTTTTGGATGCCAGGTAAGCGTAGGGCCCATGGGGAAGGCAAAAAAAAATGGGCCTCCTGGAAGTTCGGGAAGGCCGGGAACAGGCCCGTTTCCAGCCTCCGGAGCCTGGGGAAGCCGCTCTCCCGGAGGCCCAAGGAAAAGCCTCCGGAGCCTGTGGAGTACGAAAGCGACCGCTCAGCCGTGGTGCAGGAGGCCCCCGAGGGACAGTCAAGAAAGAGCAACCTCTCTTCTCTTCTAGCACCAAGGATGTTCCCTGGTTGGGTAGTGCAATGTCTCTGAGAAAACCACCAAGCACAGGTGAGAAAGTTGGATGGAGCAGAAGTAAGACCAAGCAGGGTTACTCCGGCAAGAACAGTCCAAGAGGACAATTCGCTCTCACAACCACCTGGGCTCTTCTGATAGAAGCACTGTGAGACACGGCAACTTTCTACCTCTGTGTCACTTCAGCAACAATCTTACCATCATTTTGCTCCGTCTTTTTTTAACCTGTTGACAGTGAGGTGCTGTTTGCAAGTTAGAAACTCAACCCCCATCAAATCCTCCTCCCTCTTTTCTGCGCAGCAAAGCAAATCGGCCGCTCAGGAAAAATCAATATGTGCGACTTGGATGGGATACGGAAAATCCGGCAAAAGGACTGTGTCGTCAGAAGCAACATCTTCAGGCGTCAAGATTCTGGATTGTGTAGATGCGTGCGCACCTTGGAGACCCCACCCTCCCTCGAGGCAATTCCCCACTACCCCATCATCCATAGTTTATTCCAATCACCGCCACACCGAAAGTCACAGCAGCTCGGCAACTCCGAATCCCACCCTGTGCCCGGCTCGCAGCTCCCTCGACGAACGTGTCAGGATGCGGAATTTGACTGGGCAACATCTCGTTTGTAAAACTTCTTAAATATTAAATACTTTCCTTTTCACCGTACGTGATTTTGTCAAGAAAGGCAAAATGTCGGCGGGATAGCCTGGGGGAATTCCTTCTCAGAGTTACCGCTGCCATGCGAGACAAACTAGGAATCTGACGAGCCATGCACGGTCTCGTTCAGAACGCGGAGGGGCCTCAGGAACAAGCCTACCCCGCTTTCCTTTCTTGCCAGGCACGGTCAACATTGCGTCGAGTTTCGTTTCTAATTTAAGAAAAAAAAAACACTATAGGTTTTAAGTCGAGAAAGACAAAGTCCGGCAGAAAAGCCCTTTGGGAACTTTTTGTGATCGTTTTCCCGCGATCATTTTCTCATGATCCTCAGAGCAGCGAGTCATCCGTGCAGCCACCTTCCAATCCGTACCGGAACTCCTGCAGGTTGGAGACGCCGTAGAAGTGGACGAAGGCTGCGGCCACCACCAGGACATGAAAGATCTGATGGGACTGGAACTGTTGGAAAGACAAAAAGACAATTCAAGATGGAGAGTATCGTGGTTTGTCTGAAAGATACCACCTCCTGATAATACCAGCACTGAAAAAAAAAGGTGACTTATAAGTGTTTTTCATACCAACGACCATTTGTCAGAGTTCTGAGGGATGTTCATCTTAACGACCACATCACATGGTCACCATTCTGATGCTCCGATCAAAGTTTTATGACAGCACGGATTAAAAAAAACCCCAGATTCACTTAATGACCAGATTACTACTTTTATAGGGATTCCCTTAAGATGGGATGAAACTTAATAAATTCTCACTTAAAAGACATCCATTAGAGGCTCCATTTTGGTCATAAGATATAGAACTGCCCATGTTGCTGGGTTTTTTTTGGTCGAACTACAACTCCCATCACCCCACCCACCCCCCGCAAAAAAAAAACCTCACCCAGATGTCAAATTTCCCCGGGAAGAATCTTTCTGGAATACGAGCTGCGTAAAGTCCAGCTCCGGTAATGTACATCACGGCCATCAGGAAGAACCACCCCATCTGGCCTACTGTGGTGGCCTTGGCGAAGCCCTCGGCGATGGTGAAGTGCATTGTGGGTACCACGCCACTCAGGCCCAGCCCGAGGAAGACGCCTGAGAAGGAAATGAGACTCCCGTAGGTATGCGAGGAAAGGGTCTGCATCAAAGCTTAGCTCGAAGGGCCATTCTTCTGAAAGCAGGCTGGCTAGGAGATTCTGGGAGTCGGAGTCCTCCCCTCTTAAAGCATGAGGGATTCTGGGAGTTGAAGTCCCCCCCTCTTAAAGCCTCCTGACTGAGGGATTCTGGGAGTTGAAACAATATACCTGCTCTAGTCTGCCTGTGTTTGGGGGTGGCGAAGCGATCCCACTGGGCCACGATAATGGCAGAGATGCCCAGGACGCAGACGATGGAGAGATAGATGAGTCGTGGCTGGGGTGAGCAGTAGAAGGAGTAATAAAGCCACGGGACGAAACTGCCCATAATCAGCAGGGCGATGCCCGAGTAGTCCAACCTGTAATGGAGAGAGAAAAAACTTAAAGTAATCTTTATTTTGATCGTGTAAATTACGAGCTGCCTGCCAAATGTCTGAGTTTGGATGACGGGGAAGCTGCCATGCTCAGAAAGTTTGAAACACGGCTCCAAGTTGCCTTTCCACCCCCTTCAAGCGATGTTGTGATGTGGAACCATCGCTAAGCGAACTGAGGACCACCTCTGAACACAAAGGCAACCCCAAAACCCCACAGGCCTAGGGAAGCCCCACCTGGGCACACTCACTTGGAGAACGTCCGCGACACTTTCTCTGAATGGCAGTAGACGGTGTGGAAGAGCCAGGAGAAGCTGAGACATAGCACGGCACCTAGGAAGAACATTCCGAAAACCACTTTCTCCTGCAGGGGTGCCAGGAAGTACATGTTGGGACGCAGCATGGTCAGCACCCCGAGGCACAGGAAAAGGACAAAACCTGTTGGGGGGAGAGGAAAAAGGGAGGGTTAGCCAGTGGGGACTTGGGGCCAATCACCAGGAGACTGGGAGTTCTAGTTCCACCTTAGGCATGAAAGCTGGCTGGGTGACTTTAAGTCAATCACTAGGAGATGGGGAGTTCTAGTTCTATGGTAGGCATGAAAGGTGGATGCGTCACTTTGAGCCAACCACCAGGAGACTGGGAGTTTTAGCGTGAAAGGCAGTTGGGTGAGTTTGGGCCAATCACCAGGAAACACGTAATTCTAGTCTGTCGTAGGCATGAAAAATGGGTGGGTAAGTTTGGGCCAATCGCTAGGAGACGGTGAGTTCTAGTCCCCCCCTTAGGCATGAAAACCAATTGGGTAACTTTAAATACTGCTGACCGGCGCAAATGGATCATTAGAACTGGTGCAAACCAGTTGCCTAGAGATAGTGAGTTCTAGTCCTGCTTGAAATCCGACTGCATTACTTTGAATTCACTTAACAACGGTGGGGAAAAAAATTTTTTTTTTTTAAAAATGCCCATAATTGGGTTGTAACTCTAGCTAGATCAGTTCAGATCTCTTTCTCGTTTCTTCTTCAGGCCGGATGAAAAGGCTTTTGATCTGAACTTTGGTCCCAGCCAGTATGCTGCCAATTCGCACTGGTTCTAGTGATCTGGTTGCACCAGTCGGCAGTATTTCATTTTGTGGGGGGGGGGGCAGGTTAGTCTTCGCTTTTTGGAACCGACGGTCGGCTTCACCGAGTAGGTGGGTCCAGATGTTGCCGGTCTCGGTGTGGATGCGAAAGATGCTTTTGAAGCACGCGCGGAAGGAAGGCATGGGCGGGCGGTGTCCGTGAAGCAGGTAGTCGTTGTCCTTCAGCCAATCAGGCAAGACGTCGTAGGGGATGACCCGCCATCGCCCTTCCCAGACCTGAGAGGCAGACAAAAAACCTTAATTTATTATTAAATTTTTTTTTTGGGGGGGGGGGTTGTCATTTTTTTTATTTTCTATTGCTTATACATATCAATGCGTGAACCGTGTGACTGATACTTGGCTATCATACATTTTAGTACAAATAAACATATTATTATTCATAGTTATTACATTTCATTTTCATTGCTTCCTATTTAAACATTATCTCCTACTACTGCCATTCAATTTCGAAACCTCCCTCTTATTATTGTTCTGACCCAGGCTTCGTCAATTGTAATTAATCACAAACTTGTTTTAAAAGTAAAAGCTATTTTATTGCAACGCTGGGAATCACTTTCATTCCCAGCCAGAATTAATCTTAAACAGTCCCCCAAGATAAGCATATGCTTTCCAGTGCTGTGGAATGCTGCCAAAAATAGAAGTATCCAATTAAGTAGAGAAGGAACCGACCGAAGTACAAGAAAAAAAACACCCAAAGTACAGAGAGCTTCAAGGAGGACTCGCAACCAATCGAACTACTTTGCTTCCTGCAAAGGTTTCATCATCTTGGCCTGACTTTTATCCCTTAGGGGAGGGGCAATCACCTCCCAGCCTTACTCCCGAGTCGCCCCTTTTGTCTCAGCTGCTCTCGCCTTCTGGCAGCTCTGCGCACATGTGCACTGGGAACAGGCTCCCCTGGGTCCTCTGCCTCGCTGCCGACAGACTCCGGAGGCTCCAGAGGCAGCACCCCGCTCCCAGGTGGTCTCAGCCTCATCTCTGCATTGGACGCAGGACTCTCATCCGAGTCCTCCCCAGACTCCTGGACTAGTTCCCGTTCTTCCCCACTGTCTGATTTTGCTGCCGGCTGCCAGCGAACCACAATAATTACTACATATATCTTGTTATATTAAAATATGTATATTGTTCTTCCCCTCTGGTTGCTATTCTAACTTTTATTCCTGTTGTTGTAGTATTCAAAGAGGATTCTTTTATGTCTTCCATCTTCCACCTGCTTTATTATTTCCATTTCCCTTATTTAACCCTTCACACCTGTATATGTTAAATATTTCACCCTTCATTCTTTCATTGTTCAGGGTTTCAATATACAACTCCAATCTCAATCCCAATATCATTTAAACAGATAGAGTAAATCCATTCGTATTCCTTCCATTCATCCAATCCATCCAATTCTACTATTCATATACATGCTTATTTTTAAAACATATCCTTTCATTATTTAATTACTCATTGTTTAATTTTATTGTGAATATTTATACTATTCTTAATTTTATTATTTCACTGCTAATCATGATATTATTTCGACATGTTCATCATACCATCGTTCATTCTTTAATTTTCCAATAGATGTTTTGTTCTTATTCATAATTCCCATATTTCACTCTTCACATCTATTTGTATTAAAAATCTTAGTACCTATCACAGTACATATAAAATAATTATCCACTCTATATAATTTTAATGTTAATACACACGTTCTTGTATGAATATGTTCTTAAAGAATCTTTTTTTTCTTCCCTCTTTCTTTTTTCTATCCATCATCTCTTGGCCTCATCAGTACCTTAATTGTTATCCTTGCCTCCCGTATTCTCCTCTTGGATCTAACTCTGTCTACCAAAAACTTGGTTATTTTCAATGAGCCCACTCAGCTTGGCCTACCTCATAGGGGTGGCGTTGGCCCAGCTCTTTAGGAAAAGCTGAGCAAGCAACAGGCCCAGAGGAGTCAGACTCCTCCCCCAAATCCCACTGAGGGACCACTCTCAAATTTGCCCCCAAGAGAGAGACAATCGTGCAACCAAAAGATGATGGAGTCCTCAGTTTATGACCAAAACGGAGCCTGGGATTTATGTTGCTAAGCAACATGTTCCTGAAGTGAGTTGTACGACTTTTCTTGCCACAGTTCTTAAGTGAAGGTGTTCAATGAGTCACATGGCCGTTAAGTGAATCAGGATTGACTCATCAAAAGGACGCAAAGCAGGACACCCTGGGAGAGCACCACTGTCATAAATATGAACCGGTTGTCAAGCACCCAAATGTAAAACCACATGACCGTGGGGATCGGTTGTTTAGGGTAAAAGAACTCGTTAGTTTTCAGTGCTATCGGAACTTTGAATGGTCACTAAATGAACCATCGTAAGTCAAGGACGTCTTCAGCTTATGACTGACAGTTCATTTAGTGACTAGCCTTCGACTTACTATCATTCAGTGAGCAAAGTTACAATGGCACTGAAAAAAATTGACCCAGGACCGTTTTTCTCACTTAACGACCGTTGCAGCCTCCCCGTGATCAGAATTTGGACGTTCAACAACCAGTTCAAACATGTGACGTGGGATGTAGTTAGGAACTGCAGGTGATTCACTTAACAACCATGGCAAGAACGGGCATAAGAGGGGGCAACGCTCATATAACAACAGCGATGATTCCCACAACAAGGTGCTAACACGGGCAAAGCTCCTTTCGCAATTGTCTTGCTCAGCAATGGAAAATTTTGAGGCTCTGTTGTAAATCGAGGACTCTTGGGACGGTGCCGTCCCTGCCACGCACCAGGGCAGGATAAATCAATTTTCCCCACTAGCCTATTGCATGGCTTATACGGAAGCGAGTTTGGCGTTTCTCAGGCATGGAAGGTCTTTAGTGGAAGTTTTTATCCACCCCCCCGCCCCGCCCCCCTCGATGCCGACTGTGCTCAATTTTTTCTCGCGAGGCAACTCCCGTTTCCCGTGCGAGTATGACCCTCTCCTTCCCCCGAACGAGGAAGCGGTCTCCGTTTCAGACAACCGACGGATTACCTTGTAGACAAATTCTTCCATCTTCTCCATTGCATGGTGGGCCTGCAAGGGGAGGGTTAAGACCCTTACTTCCTCCTCCTCTTCCTCCTGAGTAGCCGGGCAGGGCTGACATGGGTTCTACGGGAGAGAAAAAGAGACCGTGAAGCTCCGGATGTCCAACAAAAAGGATCTCGGGACGATCGCTTGAACCTGGTTGATCGGCTGGAAAAAAACATTAGGCAGGCAGCCATCGACTTACAGCCACTTACTTGTTTAGTGACTGTTCAAAGTTATAATGGGATTGAAAACAGCGACTTGTGACCCTTTTTTTCGCACTTACAACTTTTGCCGTCTCCCCAGGGTCAAAATTGTGAGGGTTGGAAAGTGACTCATATTTATGAGGTCATAAGTTTCCCAGGATCAGGAGATGCCCTTTTACGACCTTCTGATCAGCAAAGTCCATGGGGAAGCCAGATTCACTTAACGACCACGTGATTTTATGAACTGAAGGGGACTCACTTAACAACGGGGGCAAGAAAGGTCGTAAAATGGGACAAATTTAACTTAACAAATGTTTTGCTGAGCTGTAAAAAATTGGGACTGAGTTGTGGTCGTTAAGCTGAGGACTAAATGTATGCCCCTAGTTTGGACTTAATTTAATTCATGTTTTTGGGGTATGGAAGTTGGGCTTTGCAAGATTTGTGTTTGCTCGGAAAATTTCTTTCTTTCTTTCTTTCTTTCTTTCTTTCTTTCTTTCTTTCTTTCTTTCTTTCTTTCTTTCTTTTCTCTCTCCCTTGTTCTCTCCCTCTTTTTTCCTTCCTCCTGACTTTCCTTCCTTCTACCCATCCATCGATCCTTCCCCTTCTTCCTTCCCTCTATCCTTCCTTCCGTCACTCTTTCCTTCTTCCTTCCTTCCCTTTTTTTCTTCTCCACCCTTCCTTCTCTGAATCCTTCCTACTTTCCCTCTCTTCATCACCCTTTCCTTTCCAGCTTTCCTTTCCTTCCCTTCGTCCAATTCCACCCTTCTGCTTTCTAACCTATTCCAATCCCTTTTTCCCTTCCTTTTCCTTTTTCCCAATTCCAATTTCCCTTTCCTTCCCTTCCCTTCCCCTCCTTTCCTTCCTTTCCCTTCCCTTCCTTTCCTTCCCTTCCCCTCCTTTCCCTTTCCTTCGCTTTTCCTTCCCTTTCCTTCCCTTCCCCTCCTTTCCCTTTCCTTCCCTTTTCCTGAATGACGGAACGCCTGGCTTCAACGGCGGTCATTAAGTTGAGGACCGGATCTACAGCCCAGGCACTTTCTCCCTTCAGCAAAGAGGGAATAACTCACGCTGGCAAAACAGCGGCAGCGAGTCCAAATGTACAAAAAAAGAACTCCCCCACCCTCTTTTTTAATGTGCTTTTCCCCCCCCCTCTCCTGGCCAAATTGGGGTGTTTTTTTTGTTTTGTTTTAGGGCAGGAAAAAAGAAGTTTAAAATGCAAGCTCGGTGACTCAGATAAAGCAAGCCAGGAACGGAGGCCCAAATCCCTGGATTTGCACTCTCATCTATCCCAGGGCAGTAATTCTTTTGAATTCTGCTATATGGTGCAGTGTTGGTGCAGTGCGGGGGAGTTTCGGTTTCAATGTGTGGAGGGTGAAGGATGTGTGTTTGGGTTTACTTTCACGGTCATGGTGTGCCCTGAAGATGGTGTTTTGATTTCGTTGTACGAGCTGCAAGGACAATAAAAAGTAAACTAATCTAAACTAAGACAAATTTGATTTCATTCGGGTTTTGGAGGGAGCCCAAAGTTCGCTCAGAAATTTAGAAAAAAATGTTTAAAAAGGGCCCAAAGTGCAAAAAAGCAGATTAATACCTAAATGTCGCACAAAGCCAACTAAGAAAATTTACTGCTTTTAAACTTCAGTTAAATATTGATGGCCGGCTCTCCAAATGAGTAACGGAGCAAGATTTGGCACACACATACACAAATCTGTCTACCATCTATCTGTCTGATTATTATCTTACCTATCGATCATCTATCATGTATCAATTGTAATCTCTCATCTCTTTCTCATGTCTCTCTCAATCATCTACCTACCTATCATCTCTCTCTCATATATCATCTATTACAATCAATCAATCACTCCTCCCTATCTCCTCCGTCTATCATTGTCTATATCTCTCATTTCTCTCATCTATCAATCATGAACCTACCTATTGACCATCATAAATATTCTCTACTATAAAATATCATGTATGACTCCTCTCTATCTCTCTCATCTGTCTATCATCTGTCTGTCTGTCTGTCTGTCTGTCTGTCTATCTATCTATCTATCTATCTATCTATCTATCTATCTATCTATCT